GGTAAATATGGCAGCAAATCAGTCTAGACTGGTAAAGAAGCTGTTTTCAGACATAATTTGTTGTAGCAATTCATGCTCATATAAAATCCAGATTAAATTAGAGGACAGTAGTTTGTAACTTGTAGCAATGGGGTTACATTTAATTTGATGGGTCTTAGGGTCTCCTGAGACGTAACTGGTGATGTTATGATACCAAAGAATAGACAGAGGGTTTTTTTGAGAGGGATCAGATTTGGAAGGAAAGTTTAAAATCAGTAAAATTCAGAGACTCAGATAGTCATTTTGCCTCCTAATTGTCTTCTTTCTTTCTTTCTTTCTTTCTTTCTTTCTTTCTTTCTCTCTTTCTTTCTCTCTCTCTCTCTCTCTCTCTCTCTCTCTCTCCCTCCCTCCCTCCCTCCCTCCCTCCCTCCTTCCTTCCTTCCTTCCTTCCTTCCTTCCTTTCTTTCCAGAGGTTTTTAAGGAGTGAAATGAGATGTAAGAGAATCTCAGCAAGAGGGAATTTATGCAGGTACACAGATACTACAGGTCTCTGCATAAGATGCAGTAGCTCCTAGACAGTTCCTTGAAATATCTAGATTGGAACTCAACCTAAACAAATTTTCTTGCCATTTTTAAAAAAAACAGCATAATCATGACAAATGATTGCCTCCCCACTCAAAAACAACCTTAGGAAATCGTGACGATGTTTAAATGCTGACATCTACGCACAAATGACATGTTTATGACATCTGAACTATGCATGTAAGCTGCATCAAACATGTCATGACATTCTGAAGCACAAATCATTGCTGGGCACTCTTTGTCTCCTCTGAATTGCCATGTATGTATGCAGAGCTGTGTAAGAACAATGAGAACCGAGATACCACTGTAAATATCAGGAATGTAATATTTACAGTGGTACTTCAGTACTCATCGTTTGATATTTACAAAGATTTAGAAAAGCAGCCACAGTTAGCTACATATAATAGCAAGCAAAAGTGTCTGAATTTGGCTTTCTTCCTTTTTTGACTTATCTTTTAGAACTTCAATCATATGTCCACATAACTGTCACACTCAGTGGGGTTTACTTATGAAGGACTTCACTTCTGAAGGGCATTAGTGACCTTATTTATTTACTTGTTCGACAGACAAAAACAATAATAATAAAGAAAAAATATACAATGAGATGTTAACTATAATTGAGGACATGCATGGATTAGAACGGTGATGGCGAACTTATGGCACAGCGCATGCACAAAGAGAACCGGTGGTAACACCAGTTGGAACCCACCACTGGATGGCACCATTTATAATATACCATAATTTCAATACAAATCTCAATGGAACCTTATGTGGCAACTTACCTGGCAAATAGTGCTATTTACTGTAGTTGCCAAGTTAAGATTCTTCTGCTACTCAACTCAACTCAGCTAAACTCAACTCAACTTAACTCAGCTGCAGCCCCAATTCAAATGACATTGTCGTAATCTATAGCTAGACATAGCTAAACATGTTTATAAATTCTGTTCCTCCTTTTATAACTCATCACATTGTGTTTTTCCTTCTTACTTCACAGTAGTTTTTGCCAGTACATTTCATTGTACAGCTTCTTACCAAAAATATCCCACTTACCCCTACCTTTACATGGATGGTTATTGTCTTGCCACTCCTTTCTATCCCCAATCAAAAGAACAGAAGAAATAATCATATAACTAATCAGACCATTGGGTCCTCTTCTTCAATACTGCTTAGGCAAGAAGTAGTTACACTGTATCTCAAACATAAACATAACCACCTTACTCAACATAATAGATGGCCAAGAACAACAGAATGTAAATTATAACAATATCTGGAAGGCCAGAGCGACTCTACCCTACTAGTAGTGCAGGAGTGGGTTCTAAAATTTTGTACTACCGGTTCTGTGGGCGTGGCTTATTTTGTGGGTGTGGCTTGATGGTCATGTGACAATTCTTTAGGATTTAGCAGAGGTACTGGTCTACCAGGCTTTTAACTGCTTGCAGAGCTGTACCGATCTACCCATTTATTTTTTGCAGGCACTGGTCTACCCATTTATTTTTGCAGGCACTGATCTACTCATGTATTTTTGCAGGCACTGATCTACTCATGTATTTTTTCAGGCACCGGTCTACTCATTTGTTTTCTTTTACCACTGATCCGCTGTAGGGCGGCCTTTTGAAGCCCCACGACAAGAGTTTTTTTCCCTCTAGCCATCAGCTGGGACTCAGGAGGCAGCAATAGATTGGGGGTGGGGCCAAATAAAAGGTAAGAATAACGCGGGGGTGGGGGGGCGCAGGGCGCGGGGGGGCGGGGGAGCAGAACCGGTTCGGTGACATATCGTCATTGCTACCGGCTCGGAAGAACCAGGCCAAACCGGAAGGAACCCACCACTGTAGTAGTGTCTCTCTAGGATTTCAGACAGGGCTCTATTCCTTCCTTGCCAGGAAGTAAGAGGAAATTCCACACAAATAACTGCTGTAACATTGTCTTCCTCTCCTCCTTTTCTCATTTATATTCACACACTAGAAAATTTCATCATTTTCTTTTCTTGCCAGGAAGCCATCAGAATTGACATTTGGTCTTCAATACTTTCATACTTAAGTGTATCTCCGGTTCGATTAAACTTTAATTATTAGATTAGTCTCATAAGCAGAAACCATAAACATGATTTACAGAGATGAGACCACATGAGTAGGATTCAGATGACTGGACTAAGTTGCCTTTCTTAGATTTTGCAGAGCCAAGTTCATTTGTATGAACTTTGTGCTTAGCATTTGATTACTCACAATTTATAATGCAAAGGCTATAGAAGGACAGGCCTCTCGCCCTCACTCAACCCATTAAACTGCCATACAATAATAATAGCTTATTGAAGTTATTATTTAAATTATAAACACTGATGAAAATAGTGAATAAGCAAATTAAATATTTTACCATAAACTAATATAGATAAATTATTGCTAGGTTGCTGCACTTGGGTCCAAGGTCTTCTACTAACCCTATTTAATTATTTAAAGTTCCATGAATTCTGCCCGTTTTTCTAATCAGAATACAGTATTCACATCAGCCAGTGAGACAGAAAATATAAAATACAAATGGCTTAAACTAACAATATCCATGAGATTAAAGTATACGTAAGACTTTAAGAAGAGCATCCTACAACATTCTTTGCAGATCATGCTTTCTGTGGCTCAGACAACCGAATGATAAATGAAACAGCTGAACAATCATCTGAAAGGCAAATTTTGACGCAACTTAACAAAAGCCATCTTGGAGGCTGTTTTATATTCTAGAGTCTAGACCAGTGGTGGGTTGCCCCCGGTTCGAACCGGTTCGCAAGAACTGGTAGTAAAACCGGCGGGAGGCCCCGCCCATCGCTCCAGATGTCATCATTGGCGATCTGCGCATGTGCAGAAGCAAGGCGTGCGATCCCGTTGCAAACCGATAGTAAAGGTAAATAAAACCCACCCCTGGTCTAGACTGGTTTCACCAATTTTGACATCTGTGGACATCAATGTGCCTGCCATCATCTTCCTTAGTGTCTGCTAAACTCCCTGACCAAGTTATTATTATTTTTTTAAATGGAAATAAACATGTTGCAAATGAAAGCAACAGTCTTAGTACCTAAACTGTATATCCAACAATGACTCCTGGTGCTACACAGATCTTAGAAGCATTCTTCGTAAATAAAAATGGTAGCTGGATGGAAGCTAGTGTCTTTATCTAAAGGTGCACCCACTTGCCCAGATAAAAGGCAAAGTCAGCTGAAGTCTTGGGAACATGCTAGGATGGATGTTAGATGTATTGTGGGGAACCAATTTGCCTTCTGGGAATGGGTGTTTTGAGACTGGCTATGTCCACTGTGGCAAACATTTAAAGAGTGCCCATTACATCATTTCAAAATTCCAAATACAGGCATCAGTCTTAAATATTATAAAACAACCTTGCTGGTCATGTCTGCCTGTCACAAATTTGATAGATAGCATACCTCCCTTTTTTAAAAATATATTTATTAAAATTTTTCCAACATTTAAAACACAAATTTACACTTATTACAGCATTTCCATATCAGTATCAATATCATCCATAACATTCATATTTACATAAATTCTATTTCTATGGTTCACTATCCTATATTATACCATCGTTTAAATTATAATATCTACAATCATATTATCATCAATATTATATAGTTCTTATATATTATATGTTATATATTATACTTTATATATCTTATGCATTAATTCTACCCCTATTCTCAAGCCAGATATACCATCTACTCCAAATTTGATAATACTCAGATTCTTCTCTCTCTTTCAATTCCATAGACAGCCTATCCATTTCTGCACACTCATATATTTTTCTTATTATCATTGGTTCTGAAGGAATATCAGCCTGTTTCCAATTCTGCGCAAAAACAATTCTGGTTGCCGTTAATATGTGTAATATTAAGTATTGAAATTTGTTACCCCTTTTCCAATCTAAAACGCCCAAAAGAAATAATTCCGGCTTCAATTTGATTTTTTGTTCAGTTATTTCCTCCAACCATTTTCTTATCTTATGCCAATATTTCCTGGCCTTGGGGCAAGTCCGCCACATGTGGTAGAAAGTTCCCTGTTTATAACCACATGTCCAACATTCAACAATTTGAAAACATCTTGGCCAGTCTGTCTCGTGGTAAATGCCAACGGTAGAACATTTTATAGAGGTTCTCCTTATATAGCACACCTCCTTGATGATCTGACGAGTTCACTTCTTCACATGTATGGCTCTGACTCTTGCAATCTAAAAATTCCAATCTAAAACCCAATTCATGCAAACAATCTGCTCCATATGATGGAAAGCACCCCCCAACTGCTCCAGTTGTGTGAGTTGTCAGCTCTGGTACTCAAATCTATTTCCAGTACAGTAAAAAACTGGGTGAATACAGAGGAAACTGTAGGCACTGACTGTCATTGTCTATAATGAGGAAAGACCCCTTGCAACGTAACTGTAGTACTTACGGGTAAAATGATTTGAAGTGGAAGGGTTGACACTATCCCCACTCTCAGCACTTTCGCTGCTAGAGATGTCATCATCTGATTCCCGCACAGAAGAACAGGGTGAGGAGCCATCAACTTCTTCAAACTTCCTCTTTAATATTCCACTCATAGCTGCACTACTGTCACATGTACCTGTAATGGGAACAGACCGCAATGAAGCCAAGGAACTTCTGACTGCAGACTAAGCAATTAAGATCTTGAGATTTATCCTCAATGAATTGTCAGTAGCATTAAGGTATGTGTACCAAGGACACTTACCGTCCTTCCCTCCTCCCTCCTTTTATTTTAATTTTTAAAAAAACGTAAGCCTCAAGCACTAATATTTGGACCAAGAAAACTTACTGTGATTTCCCCTCCTTTTAATTTAAAAAAAAAAGTAAACTCTGACTACTGAAATAATTGCTGTAAAAGCTATATTTTAAACATATATCTAAATTAAAATACCCAATGCCATTCACATGGTGGTTCACTAAGATTAGTTGCATGCAAAACTAATCCTTGAATCAATGTTGGTGTTTGTGTGTATGTCCCAATAGTTTAAATTTGGGTTTGAGTTCAGATCATTTTTTTTTCATGTACAAAACAGGCTTTGTTGATTATTTCAAAGAGTTCAAAGGTTCTGAAATGAAATACTTCTGAATTACCAAAACAGCCTATTGCAATGTAGAAAAGAAAGAGCGGCATTCTTCTTGTTCAGTTAGTCCTCGATTTACAACAGTTCATTTCGTGACTATTGAAAGTTACAATGGCACTGAAAAAAGTGACTTATGACCATTTTTCATACTTTTCATACTGGCCGTTGCAGCATCCCCATGGTCACGTGATTTACATTTGGGTATTTGACAACTGGTTCATATTTATGATGGTTGCCATGTCCCGGGGTCATGTTTGTGCGACCTTCTGACAAGGAGTCATTGGGGAAGCCAGATTCACTTAACAATTAATTGTGTTAGTAATTTAACAACTGCAGTGATTCACTTAACAGCTGTGGCAAGAAACATTGTAAAATGGGGGAAAATTCACTTAACAAATGTTTCACTTAACAACATAAGTTCTGGGCTCAATTGTGGTCATAGGTTAAGGAGTACCTATACTGTTTTTTTGCATAAAAGAAAAAAACCATTCTGACACAATGGAAAGTAATTAATTTAATTCTGTTTAATAGTTAATCTAAATATTCCCCTTTTGTCACAAGGGTTGTAAAATATTCCAGAGATTCTCAATATTGGAAAGAACCAGTTTTGGGAGCTGAAACCCAACTGGGTAGTGAACACTCATGTCAGATTTCTCACTAAGTTCCAAGCCCTCTTTCAGACTTCAGAGGAGCAAAAATATCCTCCTCCTCAGACTGATTCAGATCCGTGCAATTGTCTCTCTTGTGTGGTTAAAATACTGCATGTGTGTGTGTGTATACATATATAAATTTTATATATATATTATACATACACACACACATATACATACACCCAAAGCTACAATATGGAAATTATTTTTTTAAATGCTTTAACTTAAAACCTTGACAATGCTTTAGCAAATATTCCTAATATTTTCATTCAGAATATTTTAAATTCTCTTAAGACAGGGATGTCAAACTTGATTTCATTGAGGGCCACATTAGGGTTGTATTTGACCTTGAGGCGGGCGTGGCCAGGGGGCATGACCAGCTCGACATCACTTGTGTCAGGTATGCCTGTGGTGGCCGAAGCCCGAGTGTGCGGCCCTCTTGAACTCTATTTTCGCTGGCAGAGGGTTGCAGGAGGCTGTCGCAGCCAAAAATGGAGCTCAAGAGCCCTTTTTTGCTGGCAAAGGCACCACGGGCCGGTCCTTCGCTGTTTCCAGGGCAGCCCCATAGGCCAGATCTAAGCACCCCGTGGGCCGGATCCGGCCCCTGGGCCTTGAGTTTGACATCCCTGCTCTAAGAGAACTTAAAGGCATTTAGATAAGCATCTGTTTTGACTTTGTTTTTGTTTGTTTTCATTTTTGGAAGAGACTTGTATTATCAGAAGGGGCAGGCAATTTTAATGATTCTTCCCTGCCACTCCTTCTGCACTGTATCTCTGGCCTCCTCTGTCCCCCCACCCTTCTCTCTCTGCAGAAATGTATGGCAGTAAATTTGCTCTCCTGCTCTACATTTCCCAGCCCACATTTCTGTGTGTTTATACACATTACTGTGTTCATTATGGGAAGCTGACTTTCTACTTGTGATGAATTTAACTACAGTTCTTACTGTCTGGAGGTTGTTGGGTGGGTACCTCTATGTTTAGAAGTAAAATGGTTATAAATATTCATGAAATTGACTTTTTTTTTTCTCAATCCAGTGAGAAACAATCAAATCAATCTGTTCATGCCGTAGGCACCAAATATGTCTCGAAAGGCAACTGCAGGATTTTTTTCCCAAGGTCAAATCAAATCAAATCAGTGACAGAACAGGAATTTGAATTCAATAATTGCTGAGGGAGTAAGGAACAATAAAAAATGCTGAAGAGGGCAGAGGCTAGTGCTTATTATCTTTGTTGTTGTTTAATGCAGATGATCAAATAGGAAAAAACCTTGTAACAGAGAATACTACAGTACAAAGGCAAGCCATTTTCAGGAATAAAAAAACCACATTCATGAATGAATATTTTCAGCAAGGGAATGCCCCTTATTCAACCCTTAATGATTCCGATAGAACCCCATTTTATAAAAGCCACTTCTGCTTTATTGATTTATTTTCATTGCTATGAATCCCTTTTTATGCCTTCCAGCATGCAGCTTTGGGAATCCCTTGCTCCATTCCCTTACCTTGCTTGTCCTAATTATATAGCCTTACCGATGATGCTCCTGTATGTATGCTCAATATTATACTGCACACAGGCAAAGTCTGAGGTCAAAAGTGAAAAATGAGCCCCATCAATGCAGGCAACATTATGATGTCACAAGAAGGTGGCTCAGGTCATAATTGGGTGAGCATATTTATTCTCAAGCAGGAGTTTTTCCATTCTGACATCCATTTCAATTAAACCGTTCATAAACAATATGAATATGAAAGCAAAGTAATAATACTTTTTTCTGAGAGAAGAATCCTTGACTACTACCTCATCTGAACTTGGAAACTAAGGTGCCTGTTTCTTGGGTTAGGTTTATTCAGTGGCAATTTGACTTCATCTAAAATGGCTTGAATATTGCATAAGCATGCAGTGATGTGCCGGATGACAAATAGATTGCCACACAAAATTTATTTTGTCTCTATATAATTTTTCCTGGGAAAAAAGCCTCTGCTATATGGTGAAGACTGCAATTTTGAACAAATAATACTGTCCAATAAAACTAAGATCTTTCTTAATTTATTCGCATAGAAAGAGTTGAAATCAGCCAGCCCCCAAGAGCCAAGAAAGACATGAGGAGTTACTTTTGAGTAATTTCTTTTATTGTTCCTTACCTGTGGGCAGAATCTTGCCAAACTAAAGCAACTATTTGCACTATGGATATGCTCTGGAAATTGTTAGAGAGGATCCTCTTACCATGTTTCCCCAAAAATAAGACTCTGTCACATATATATCTATATCTATATCTATATCTATATCTATATCTATATCTATACATATACATATATACATACACACCACCAAAAAAGGCACCAGGTCTTATTTTCGGAGGGGGAGAATGTCGTCCACTGACTCACCTCACTTGCATGCATTACCCACAGCCTCTTTTTCGCTATCAGAGGCCTTCAGAAACTTCTTCATCCAGCAAGGCCAGCAAGGCTTTCCTGAAAGCTTCTGTAGCCGGATTGATCTGGATTGATCTGGAGCTCTATTATTGGCTACAGAAGCTTTCAGGAAAGCCAGCTTCCGGCTGCAGAAGATAATGGGCCGAGGTGTGTGAGGCATGGCTGCAACTATCGGAAGGTAAGTAATAGGGCAGCTCCGACCCCGCCCATCCCCATCCTAGCTTAATTTTTACCTGTGCACCCTGGAGTGGGTGGGATCTTAATTAGGATTTATTTGGGGGATAATGTTTATATTGGGCACATATGTAAAACTCAAGATAGGACTTACTTTCTGAGTAGGTCATAATTTCGGGGAAACACAGTAATTCTCTTTTTTGCAGCCAAACTACCTAAACCTTCCTGCCTGTTTGCCATCTGGAATGCAGCCCCTCCCTCCTGGGAATAAAGACTACATTCCACCACAATCAATCAGTCCTCAAACCCTATATTCCATACATATTTGAAAGGCATCAAACCACAGGAAAGACAGTAACAAAATGGAGCACATTGTTATCAGGGCAGGAGACTTTCTGCACATCGACCATTCATAATCAAAATGTTCCTGGGCAACGTGCAAAGTAGAAGTAAATTAGGGATGATGCACAGGAAGCGGATAGACAACATGCAGCCTAAGTAACAACTAAATTCTTTCGTTGTTTGAGAATGAAATAAAAATGATAGTGCCTTAAAATGGGCATGCATGGAGATGGTCATGTCTTCAAAAGTAAGAACTGCAAATAGTAGCACCTTCTTTGATGTTCAGAGTTGGATGCAGGAATTGTAGACAGGGAAAAAATGGACTTAAAAGAAAATTCTATGCTATGTCCAAGTGAGTTTTCCCTAGATCCCTCCCACTCTTTATACATAGGAGAGACGAGAAACTGTGAACTAGCTAGCCAGCTAGCTCTCAGGAATAGTCTATAGGCCAGCTGCTTGCTAGCAGTTTGATTTAATGATACCCACAGAGAGCCTGAGCTGTATGTAGAGGATCTTGAAGTTGTAAAAGGACTAGTGAGTTCCCAGCAGAACATCCTTAGAAGCCGGCCATCTGTGCCATCATCTTGTCAGGCAGTCTACTGTATGGATATCTTCCACTTTATATTCAGTGAGTTCATCCACAAGCCCAGAAAAAAGGATTAAATTGGCCATGTTAGATTAATGAGTATAAGCAAGCGCAGTCTTTCCTTCTAAAACAGCCAAAACAACAACAATCAACTATAGAGAACAGGTGAAATATCTTGAAAATTAAAGGATCCCAGCCCTAACATCTCCATAACAAAGAAACAAACTGGATGATGAACCCATTCAGAGTTCCAAATTTTGGGACTGAACATTATGCTCTTCTTTTCATTGCTTCAGGTTCAAAATACTGGTGCAGTGT